CTCTTTCTATAACTTTTTATTCCAAGCTGAAGATTCTCAGCTTTTCTAATAAAATATGGCAATGTCAGCAGCTTTAGTTTCAGTCCTTTTCCTAATGATTCATATAGCAAGGAATTTATCTTTTTCACAGCTATTGAAACTGCCTATACTAGATTATAGAATATGATTCCAAAACTATTTTTCCTGGTTAGTTGCTAACAACCCAGACTCTATCATGTTCAACCCACTACTCTTTCTGTGAAGTAATACTTTCTAATGTTACTTATGAACTTCCCCCGTCAGTTTGAGGTTATGCCCCAGTGTTCTTGATTTTTGCTTAATATTGAAAATACGGCCTTCTAGAACCTTATACACACCCTTAATATATTCAACTTCAATGTTCCCCCCTTTCTCTTGTCCTCTAAGCTTACACATTCAGTTCCTCTGATCTCTTCTGATATGTTTTGTCCTTCAGGCCTTGCAACATTTTTGGTCTCCAGAACTGGACATAGTATTCCAAATGGGGTCTAACTAAAGTCCTGTACAGCAGGATTAAAACCTTCTTTTTCCTGATGAGTGGTGGGGTTAACTTTCTCATATTGAATTTGCAAAAGAGATTTGTTAAAGTTGTAATAAAAAAAATTGTGAGAAGACACAAAGAAAAATGAAAAGAAAATTTTAAGACATTTGCAATTGTTCATATTTGAAGGGGTTAAGTTCTTTATACATTTTTATTTACTATATCATTTTTCTTTCTTTTCCATCTTTCCTTTTTCCTATTTTCTTGTAGTTTGGCTTATATTAATTTTACTATGTTTATTAAAAATGTTAACATATTTTCTTTAAAAAAAAAAAAAGAAGTTGCAGTTATTGCTACCCAAAGGAAGCACCCCAATTACTTAAAGCAAAGGATCACATATTTGATATGTAGCTTTGGATCATTTTCCTCAATGAATAAATGAACAATGATAATATTTTGACTCCTTTATTCCTCATTTAATTCATTTTAGGACTCATGTGGAAAACAGATAGTGTTTTAGGTCATATTATGCAGAAATGTTGAAAATTAAAAAGGGTTCACAAACTTTTAATTACCACTCTAATTATCAAGTTCAGAGAGATCTACAGGAAAACTGTTAGTGAATGAATGGGACAGCAAGAATGGCTCAGTGGCAATGGACAATTTCTGACTAGCATCCTCAGCAGATAGGCCACAGAGAAATTTGTGATCTTTGGTCAAGAAGACATGTTGAGCTAGATCCCAGATATGTGATGTGCCTCAAAGACCTTGGAAGAAAATAACCTGGAAGATCAGGAAGCACGTTTGAAAAATCTGTCACATGATTAGTCCAAAGCAGGTTCTCCAAACTATAGTCCACGGGTGACATCTGGCTCTCCAGAAGGTTCTTTCCAACCTGCCAGCTCTTCCCCATGTGTTGTGCTTTGATCCTTTCCAAACAGTACAAGGAGAGAAAGCAGGGTTGCATTCATCACTGTTTGGAAAGGATGGTAAAATTCCCTCGATTTTTCCGATGTAGGGGCATTGTAAGCCAGCTGGAGGATTGCTGGATAAGGGGAAGCACCTTCCCCTTTAAAATTTGCACCGGCTTTGAGCCTGTTGGAAGGTGACTTCCCCTGCCTACAAGGGGGTAGGTGGCAAAGGAGGTGGCCTGATCCAGTATAGCTTGTTTTTGTTTTACACCCCAGATATAAGAATTGATGGCGCCATTAGCTTTTCACTCATTTTGAAATAAAAGAATCAGCTTCATCATTCACATTAATTCTGTGCTTGTGTGGATTAAACCTGCAATTACCAGAACTTCTTTCGTTTACTGGAGTTCTTTTTTGTGGTGAATTTATTATTTTTATTCTGTGCCACAAAATTGGGCAGATTCTCATTTAATGTACATTTGTAAAATTTAAATAAATAAAATTTATTGAAAAAAAGAATAGCCTTATTCTCATCTGCAGTAATTATTTCTTTGGAACATTTGCTACAGTTTGACATTTTTCTTGTATCATTTGTCCATGAGCACAGCTTTGTTCTTTGTAGTTGTCACATTTTTGTTGTTGTGAATCGTATTACATTGAGCAAAATGAAACACAATCAAATTTTATTCACTCATTTATAAAACTGTTCTTTCTCACATCCCTTGAATGTCCCAAAGGTGCTTTTTCAAGAGGCAACTGGACTTTCTGGTTTGTCTTTGAAGACATTTCACTGATGAGAAGCGAAATCTCTTCAAAGACAAACCAGAAAGTCCAGTTGCCTCTTGAAAAAGCACCTTTGGGACAACCATGACCTGGATGACAGAGAATCTCCATAGACATATGTCCCTTGAATGTTTGCAAATTATCCAGCATGGCCCTCAGACTGAAAGGTTTGGAGACCCCTGGTCTAAGGCATGATCAGCTAATGGCATTTGAAAATATGGAGAAGACCTATTCATATTATGGTCTGTCTCATATCTTGAGCTGCCCAAATATAGATGCATTGATGAAAAGCTTAATGCTGAAAGGACCAAGCAGAACGGAGACACCTGACTGATCTTGGAGATGACCTGTAGAAACACAGTAAGCATAATGTAGTCGACTATGTCAATGGAATGGGAAGATTTCTATTCTGACTATTCCAGATAGGGTGCTCTGGGACACTCGTGTGATTTGGTGAAATCTTTCCTTCCAAGATGGATTTCCTTGCCTGAAGATCAATCAGCAAGGTTGGAGAATATGAATCGGGATAGCACAATACAAATTGAGGAACCCAACAAAGGTGGAATAGTTGTGGCATTGGAGAAGACCACAACTTCTCAAGGCTAGTTGAAATCAGACCTTCTGGTCTCATGTGGAATTCCAGAGAATCTTTGAACTCTCAGCTTGTGCAGATAAAAGTAAAAAAAATGAGGTTCCTCTGCAGGCAGGAAAGAATTTTATCAGACAGAGATGAAATAACCATTGGAATTTTCACCACCCCACCCTTTCCTGGAAATCTTATTCCCAGTGCAACTTTCAAATCAGATCAATTATGCCTTAAACATAACTGATGTCCTTCATCAAGCTAAAAACATTTGTGCCCATCAGAAGGGAGTGCTTCACCTGTGCAAACAAGGTGTCCTAACAATTTAAAGCAGTTTCAAAGAATTGGAAGGAAGAAAACATCCAAAGAAAACCAGAAAGACTATTCCACTTTAGGTCAAAGTGTTTAACACTGTACAGGCTAAAAACAGATTGGAAGCTCAGTAGTAGCAATGCCTAGTCCAAAAAATATTATAAATTTTAGCAGATTCAGAACAGGCTTGTTAACCAAAAGAAAACAACAACAACAAATACGTTGCATTTTCAATCATTGTCATGTGAACTCAGCCATTCTTTAATTTCAGGATTTAAACCAGTCTCCAAGGAGTCAAATTATGCTGCAAGCACAGCATTTAATTTCATTACCAGTAGTCTTGATTGGGGCAAGAAATAACTAACTCCTCCTTCCTTAAACAATGTTAATAAAAAAAACTTCTGCAAACTCTTCCAATTCTTATGGCTTCTTGTTTGTCCACAACTTACTGAAGGGTTTTTACAAAGTGTTTTTTTTCCTGTGTTCAAATAGGTGCAGCTTCAGGTCAAATCCTATCTGAATGTTATCTGTTGTTCACATTTAAAACAATAACAGGAAACTGCTATAGAACAAAAGTTAAACTGAATTCCATTAGCTATTTTTGTGACACCCCCTCCCCATCTGAATGTGACAAAAATGTAAACTGGTTAATAATCTTGTAACAGTGCAATTTTGGACATACAAAATGATGTATTGTACAGACTTGCATTAAAACCTGTAACATGGATTACTTTTAGAAAGTTATTTGGGCATAGTGAGTAACTGAGATAAAAACCATTGGTATAAAGCCTTTTACCCTAAAAAAGGATAACCGCCACTTCACATTTTAGAAGAAATTAGGCTAAAACCCAATTATTCGTGATAAATTTTACATTATTTATTAGTTTAGACCCTGTTTTGTAAAGATAAGTCCATGCCATTATATTTGCATGGAAAGCCTACAAACAGCCTCACCAGTTATGTTCTACCCTTCTCTTCTTGCTACCCACATACTACATAGAGAACAAGAAGGGCTTCATGAAGAATGTACTTGCTTCTTGCAGCAATATCCATACATACTATAGCAGGCAATTGAGGGAGCTAGAGCTCTATTGATTTCTTTGCCAAGTGCTCCAGGGTAAGAACAGAATTTGGTCCTGTATATGGGGCCTAAATTTATTCTTAATCTTTGTTCCTGATTAAGATATGGAATACTGAGAATGTGCATGGCCCATTTTCTGAACATTGCATACAAGAGACTGAACAAGCATGTTTTGACTTTTGGTTTAACAGCTTCTCACAGCCATAAACAATACAATGATGCAGTACAATACGTCCCTGCACATTACCTCATAATGAGGTATCAAGTGAAAAAGGAGCATCAATTTTAAAAACCAAAGAAAATTATGATGAATGGATTAAGAAGTTCTAAATGTATCCTTTTTTCAAAAATGTATTTCTAATTTAATACTTTAACTTAGTTCGGGGAAGTACATTCCTGTAGTGCTGTGGCTGGTTTGTAAGCTTGTTGGCAGTATCAGAACTGTTTTACAGTTTGTACAGCTGTGAGATCACTCTTGTTTAGGCACTATATAAATAAAAGAAATATATGAAAAGTACTTAATGTAAAAATGTATACAATTAAAAACTAAAAATTATGCTTTACAGTCAGAATAAAACAGAGAAGAGGTGTGGGCATTTCAAAAAAAGTCTTGCTATTTGAATTAAAAACTCAAAGTAATATATTACACCTCCAAGTTTTACTTCTATATTCTCTTAAAATCTGTCTCAAATGTTTCTAATATTTACACGTTACTATAATCATACCTAGCAGACCAGGCCTTGAAGTAGGTTAATTGCATAGGAAGATTTTACTATGTTTACATTTTATCTTAAGTTATTTTTTTAAAGCACAGTAAAGAGTCTGAGGACAAATTATTCAACTGTTTATCATACATAAGACTGCATGACTATAATACAAAGGGCTTGTCTTTTCATTTAACGTTACAATATACACAGCAAGTCCGGACTAGATCTTACAATCTGAACACAGGTATTTAACCTTTTCCATGCTGTTTATGTTTACAATGCACAGAAGTCCTGTAACCAAACTGTGTAGTAAAGCACACAAAACTGGACTGTAACATAACACAGTATGCAGAAGCACTGGAGTTTATGATTTCTGTTTATGTAAATTTAAAAACAGTATTTTTGGTGCTTGTTAAAGTATGGCAACCAGCACAAGAAAAATTACCCATATTTGTTACCCTTATATTCCTAGACAGCAGTACATATTGGATTCCATTTTGTATTGCTAAGCACAATGCTCCATTTTTGTGACGACAGCCTTTTGCTCAGCAAACATTTTTGAACTGCAGAAGTTCAAAAATACCAATTCACAGGCTTGAGAACGCAATATAAAATAAATATGGATACTTAGATAAAAAAGTTGCTTTACAAAAACTCCTTATTTCTAAAGCATTCTTTCATACTCCCACTGCATTCAGCCTCTCTGTTGCCAATATAAGGAATGATTATAAAAAGAAAGAAAATAATTTGTTCAGAAGAACTGACCTAGTTTGCTATAAGGACTAACCATCTGAAGTGCACGGTATTTTGTTGAATGGCCTTTTAAACTGGTTTACTGGCAGAGGTAGATGACTGCTTCTGTTCGTGTAACGGGCAAAACAGTGTTAATCTGGAAAGATAACCCTGATTATTACCCTGATTCCTCTCTTTTATTCACAATGTTTGTATTCGTAATTCCAAAATTCTTCAAAAGGGTTCTGAAATTTAGCAACTGCCAAGCTGACGTCCTGTTAAATACAGCCTACTAAGCCTCAGGTTTCACTTGAGCCTTTTTTTTTTTAAACTTCGCTCATCTTAGTGTTTTGGATCTGTTCATGCAATCAAGGTCTTGCCTTCAGGTTTACATTTATGCTAATAAGGGATACAACAAATTAACTGCTGGCTTCATAGCTTCTGGCTTTACTGTCCCTTTTACTTTCAGAAGCTTGAACACATTTATAATGCAACAGATGTTATAGTGTTGAATTAGATGTCCTATCTATCATGTTCAATACACAGACTGTTGTAAATGTATTGGCTATGAATAAACAACAGTTCCAGTTTTGTTTAAGCAATAGTACAGCCATAATTTTCAACTGACATTTAAAAATGGTCTAGTTACACCTTGTGTCAAAGTGCAGAACTGCTACATTATTGGTTACAGACATCTATGTGCTATAAAAACAGCTTTGGTACAATAAATTATCAAAAAAGAAATTTTTTTTGTAAAATTCACAGCATAATTGTGAGGCAAAAAAGCAGTCACATAAAATTCTGCATTTTTAAAAATGTTCAGGTTGAACAGAAGACATCTTTGTGCAGAAGTAACAGTGGAGAAACCACGTGCCCAGAAAAAGCAAAAAAGAGGAAGAAGACGTAGGAGGAAAGGAAAAAAAGAAAGTGAAAAGCAGAGAGGAACACAGTTGTAGCTATTTTCATCAAAAGCAAACCACTACTCCTGTGACCTTCAACCAATAAGGAAGTCAGCTTTATGACACACGCAAAGTGACTTTGCAATACCTTACAATAAGTGGGTCACAAAGTCTATTTTAAAAGAAAGGCCTCTTGAATTACCCATTCTCTGTGTTTTCAGCATTAAGGACTATCTGCAAAAGCATGTCCAAAAGTGATTGCATCTGAAATGGTAGGCTCTTCTAACTTAAGAGTCCAAATCCATAAGGCCAAAGGTTATCCCAAAGACCACCACTTAAGACTTCCCCTGGATTGGTCAAGACCAACCTGTTGATTGCTTCTCAGTGCACCTTACTTACAGGACCAGTCTTATTTCAATACTAACTGATTGTAGCCTCAAACATGAGACACAGAATCCAAATATAATTGCTGCTTTGATTCTCAGTAGGTTCAGATAAGGAGTCTTAATCACCGCCACTTAGCATGCTTAATGTGTCTCATGAACACCATTACAACTATCCTTTTTTACAGCTAAAGATTCTGTTTTGCAATCTTAGGATCCCTCTTCCTTACAGTACTGCTTTTTATGTTCATGTATGTTTGGGGAATGGAAATTCAGTATTACTTCCCACCCCTCCCCCCTTAACATTAAAAAAGGAAAGAAAACCCCCAAAATGCCCATTTATATGATTCTGGGCATGCAACTAAGATAAACTCTTGAATATTCATTCTGTTGAACAAGGGGAAAAATATATATGTAACTTGGTTGTAATAATTAAAATGGGCAAAAACGTGAGAAATCTTCTCAAAGCTATCTAGGATAGGTATGAACATGGCTCTAAAAACTTCACTGCAATCTGTTCAAGTTTAAAAAAATAGTTAGCTTTGCCCTTCTGTAGCGGTTCAATAAGTCTATCTCCTCCTGATTCAAGCAGCTTTGCACTTTTTTTTTTTTTTTGGAAAAACACCACTTCTATAAAAACACACAAGAAACCAATCTGTTTCACTTTAGTCACGAGCTGGCCACAGGACTTTGCTGAACACAAACTCCTGTCATGGGAGATTCTTCCCTATCAATTCCCTGTCTCATTGTAAGATGTCCTTCAGTCATGTAATGAGCAGGACCTGTGCTAGCAGAAAACTGGTACGTTGGGTGTCCTGCTATGCCAGTTTCTTGGTGTGGATTAGAATAGACCGTTAAATTGACGTCCATAGCTCCATTTTGTCCAAAGTCTAATGCGTTAGCAGCCACGGGGCGGTTCTGATAGGCCTGATTGCCTTGATTACCAGTTGAGGAGGAAGATGTAGAGGAAGAAGTTGTTGAGGAAGACAGGGATGTCATGGAGTGGTGACCATGGCCCACCTCCATGGAATCTTGGGTGGACGAGCTGTTTGTTGGAGAATTGTAGATCCTTGGCCTGGTCCGACTACCCAAGGCCTGCTGTCCATGGTGATGGTGATGATGGTGGTGGTGGTGATGGTGGTGATGGGAATTATTTCCATGATGATGGTGTAATGCATTTTGTTGCTGAGGAGTAACATGGAAAGAGGTTTCTTGAACTGGATGGGTTTCAACAGTAACTTGTGTAGGAGCTTCAGTTCCTGGCCAACCAAGCGGAGGAGGAAACTGCTGTCGAACCTGTAACAACAACAACACACACACACACACACAAAGGAGGGTTATTTTATGTCATAAAATCTAAACAAAGCACAGTTAGACTTGTACTACATTGAACTTGATTTATGTGTTGCCAAAAGTATAACTGAAAACTTCAAAAAATGAAATATGTTATTAGTATCTATCTCCTGCAGTATTACAAAAGTTCTTAGATCTGACTATCAAATATGCATAATATGCAACTGTTCAAACAATTTTAACAATGGGATTTAGAAGGAACTATTAGCTTTTGGGCAATTATTTCAGTTTTAATCAGATTATCAAATAATTATCTGAATGATAAAAAAATAAGTTGCAGAATTGGTAAAAGATTGCTACTGTGGTGTGATCATGGAACAGAACTATTTGGTTATTTAAGGATACCAATAATTAGTTAACAGAGACTTCCTTTCAAAACTACCTGAGGACTGTGCGTTTCACAATCCATAGCTTGTACAGCAGCAGTGAAGTGTCCACCACTATGTCGATGCTGGTGTGTTGGATCTGACCGTGCTCTTCCACTGTTACTTGTCCCCGAAGAGCCACCTTTAATCATAAGCAAAACAAATACGTTGAAGATGATATAATCAGAAATTTTGATGTGACAAGAAGAAAGCATAATAAATAAGATTATTACAAAGGAAAAAAAGGGTAGCTAGAATTTTAAAAAAGGATATAGAGAGCCAGATTTAAAATAATATAAAAACATTTTTATGTATATAGTAAATATTCTTCCAATGACTTCATTTCCAAAATGTTGTAGGAGTCACGAATATACCTGAGCTTGAAGACGTGCTAGAAGTGGTTCCTGAAGACTGCGACTGCTCCATAGCAGGACTTGTAGAGACACTGTTACTTGTGTTTGTACCTTCATCTGCTGTTTTCTTAAAGAAACTATGCTGCAAAGCATAATAAGGTTGAATTCGGGTTTTTGGATCATAATCAAGCATCCTTAAGATGAGGTCTTTAAACTTCAAGTAGTCAGCTACAGTATGTCCTGACTCTCCAGCACGACGCCCTCCTGGTCCTCCTGTTTCAACTCCAAGTATATTGTGAAGTTTACGGGTTCCAGGTGGTTTGTACTCCTGTTAGAAAATTAGAAAAATCTTTACATTTAAAAAATATAGTTGCATTTTTATTATTTCAGATCAGTTTTCTAACAATATAAATACTTCCAGTTGTTGTTGTTTAAAAAACTCCTGCCCTCGATTTAGCATATTTTGGTTTTTGTTGTGGTTATTGGTTTTTGTTTTTGACTCCTGGTGACTACCTGGCTGAATGCCTGAAGTCTTCAGAGATACTTTAGTGTAAAAATTAAGGCATCAGGATAGAAACTGAGAGACTGTGAGTTCTAGTCTTGCTTTAAACACAAAGCCAGTTAAGGGACCTTGTGCTAGTCACTCTCAGCTGTAGGAAGATGAAAATGGCAAGTCACTTTTCTGAAACCTGTACAGTTATCAAAATATTAACAATAATCATTTACTTTAAAAGAAAACCAAAGAGAAATATCCTCATTCCACAATATGTAACAATTGCCATATGTAGATATAATGATATGTGGGAAAGACCTTATGGGGCGAAGGAAAAAGAATAACCAGACAGGAATGGTCAGACAAGAGAAGGAAGAGCCCCTAGTGGCTTAATGGTCAAATAAACTTAGGAAGGAGGCCCCCCCCGCCCCCCCCCCCAAAAAAACCCAAAAACTGGTCAGGCTGTTAAAAGTAATGGTGAGAAATATACTTGGGAAGGTGGACACCAAATTTGCAAATCTGAAAGTATAACTCTCCTGCCACTTTTGATTTAACTAATTAGGGCATGCCCTTCCTAAATTTCTTTCTCTGCCTGTTAAGCCTCCTTCTCTTGTCCAATCTTCTTTAGATATCGTCTTTCCCCTCATCTCTGAAGGTCATTTCCACATGCCATGACAGTAGATTAACATTATATTCATGTATTACAACAGCCACCTAGAGATCCTGAGATCAGATGGCAATGCTTATAAACTATTCCTCTATGAATATATTATTTATTTATTTATTAAATTTATATGCTGCAGAGTTACCCTGTGGTAAGATGGGCAACCAACACATTTAATAATAAATATAAAATAACAAAAAACAGTGATTCTGGATGACTTACAACACCATTTCTCTATGATTTCCCCTAGTTTAGAAAGTTTATAGTATGTGTTAACATATGCCGCAGAACAAAAGTGCAACTTCCAAAAGAGAGTCTCTCTTTCTCTCTCTCTCTCTCTCTCTGTGTGTGTGTGTGCCTATGTTGTCCAGCTCTTAAATCCTACACCAAAATAGCTCCCTTCGGGGGTTGGGATGCCTGAACATTTATATATTTTTTAACTTTTGCTTTTATTCTTTTTAGTAAAAGCTGTACAGTAGAGTTAAATAATTACAACAATTACTGCATAGTTTATTTCTGACAATCTATCTAAAGTGAAGTATTTTTGGACTGAAAATGATGTATGCTTGCCATTTATTTTATTATTACACTTCTTAATAGTAGGAAGTATTAATAATTAATTAGGGACATTAGTAATTTTCTCTAATTTCTAAGGGAAAATGTTCTCATTTAAATCAGAATTAGCTAAAAGTAAAAGTAAAGGTTTCCCCTGTCCAGTTGATTCTGATTCTAGGGAATAGTGCTCATTTCTGTTTCTTAGCCAAGGGAGCCAACACAGTTACAAACAGATTAAACTAGATCAAAGATTAAAATATTTATTTACCCTTTTCCCATCTTTGGTCTTTTTTAAGGTCCAAGAGCCATCTGGCAACTTCTCAAAAAACTTTTTTGCTTTTGGTGCTTGGTCAAGAATATGAGCAGGTGGTACACTCAAAACTTCCACTATTTTATTCATCTGATCAACCTGTTTCAAATGAGAAAAATCAATTAGAAGTATAACCAAATATTTAAAATTAAAGAAATAGGCAACTCAACATAATAAAAATTCATATGAATATTAACATACCTCATTTGCTCCACTGAAAAGAGGTTCTCCAGTGTGCATTTCCACTAAGATACAACCAAGGGACCACATATCAATTGCAAGATCATAAGGCATTCCCAATAGCACCTCAGGTGATCGATAAAAACGACTCTGGATATATTGATATATCTGCATTTTACAAACAAAGACATTAAATAATCCCAAAAAATTCTGTAGGTAGAAAGTAATGATTCTATATTACACATAATTTGTTTGAAATACAAATAAGGAGAGAAAAAATTTAAATCTACAAAACTTGGTAATTAAAAAAGAAGCTTAAAGTTAAATATGCAATTATACAGCAGAAAATGTTAAAAATACTTTGCTCCATTGACAGCAATTCTGTTTCCTTATTTGTGAAAGATTCATGATGTTGGGAAACTACTAACCAGGCAAGGAGGAGGGATCAAGCAGGGGTTAGTCACACACACACACTCACACTCACTCACATGTTCCATGGAAACTTATCTCTTTGTTCTCTAGAGAGGGAAAACAGTCTGGAGAGATTCTTACATTATAGATAGGATGTAATAAGCACTCCACTTCAACCCTTCACATGTGGATCTGATTGTTTGTGCCCGACATATGTAGAATCATACTATAAAAACCATAATATAAATTTGCTACTAGATTCTAAACAATGTAATAAAATAAGCCTTCTTCAAGCAGAGTTCAACTTCAGGTGATGCAGAGACATATCTATATATGTCAATAAAAGAGAATCTATTTAATTCAAGGTTGAACTGTGGAGCTGTCTGCTTCCAGACATTTTAATACCCAAGTAGATAATATCATCAGTTTTAACTGAATGTGGAATTTGTTCCCTGTTTATGTACAGTAGGAGACAAAAAGACTAGAACACATCCCCTCCAGTAACCAACACTTAGATAACCAGGGAATAATATCAGGCAAACAATCGACTAGAAAACTATATTCAAAGATTTACAAAGGAAAAAAAATCATACCCGCATCAATATTGGCAGGGCAAGATCCTGCACATAAACAGGGAACAAATCTTACACTCACTAGCACTGATGATATTACTTAATTGGGTAATGAAACTTCTGCAAGCAAACAATCAACCCCAGAGAGCAATAAGGACTCCACATCTATATATCTTTTCTTGACAATATGAAAGTGGTTTGCTGTGACTTCTTGGGATTTTTTTTTAAAAAGCTAACCAGACTAGTCTATAGACTTAGAATTCCATTAAGGAATCCTTGACTTGAACCTTAAAAAGTATAACTTCAAGAAACCCTAAAAACCTAAACAAACCCTGTCCTTCTGCTTTCTGAAACAGAATCACGGTGCTATTTGAGCCATCAAAACTGCACTTGCAAATAGATGTTTTTTATAAATGCAAAACTAACATTCTGGCTATGATTTAGTAAAGAGCTCAGCAGAGTTTAACTATGCACTACAATGCAAACAGAACCATCATTTACTATTATGGAGACTTGCAGCCATACAGATATATATACCGTATATTCTCAATGCTTAGTTAGGAAACAGGCAGAAATATGGGTAGTCCCTTTATCGCTAAAACATTTTGCTTATTTTGTCCTTATGTAGTAATTAGGAACATATTTTTTGGAGCATGCTGATTTATTTAAAATATAAACAAAACAAAACAAAACAAAAAGCCATACTGAAATATCTTGAAGTGATAATACTTACCCTCTGTCCAAGCTGGCAAGAACTGCCAAAATCAACTATTTTGATAGCACTTCGTTTGGGGTTACACAGCAAGATGTTTTCAGGTTTTAGATCACAGTGAATGATACTAAGTTCAGGAGTTGCAAGAAAAAGCAGTGCAGTACACATCTGTTGTGCAAACTTTCGCGTCAAGTTCAATGAAACCCCTCTGAAATTTGTATTCCGCAGAAGGTCATAGAGATTATAAGAGAGCATTTCAAAAACTAAACAGAGATGGTTTCGGAACATAAAGTGACGCTTCAAATGCACTGAAAGAAAAAAGAAGGGGGAAGGTGTTAAATTACAGGTATAGTCTCAAACCTTTAAGCATCTCCTTAAGAAAGCTATTAGTTTGCCCAAAAGTCTGCCAAACTTTTTTTAAAGTACAACTGTCCTTTTACTTTTCTATACTCATTAACAAAAATTTCTTTTTGGAAAAAAAGTAATTTCTTTCTTTGAAAATCACATGATGCTAAAATTAAAATGGTGGCACTTATTTTTCTAAAAAGTACAGACTATATCCCTTCATTTATAGACTTCCTATGCTTGAGGCTTCAGATTTCTGATCAATACACAACCTTTCTGCTTAAACTATTTGAAATTAGACTAAAATTTAATTAAACTAAATATACTAAAGAAAAATATACTGCTGCCATTACGAAGAGAATATGTGCCTTTATTTTCTTGTCTAGAATCAAGCAAATATGTAAAAGCAAATTTCATTAATGTTTAGTGCTGCTTTAGAATCGCTCTTATATATTATATTTCACTGAGCAACAGAATGCACAGCAGATGAATAATTAAACCATTCTGAATTACATAAAAACATAAAATTAACTTTAGTTACAGAACTGCCATTAGTTCAGAAAAAGCTACTTTTTATAATTTCACAATTATACAAGTGTTTTTAAAAATGCTTACATTGAGTATTTCCCTGTCTTAGTGTCTCTTGCCATTTTGATAGTTTCATCTACTCATTCACTGTTAAAGAAATAATCTGAGTACCTACTTCCTTAACATGTCTTATAATTAAAATGATAATTGTAAAATTAAGGCATGAAAATGCTCCTAAAAATGAGGAGCTTATCTAAAAACAATCAGATGTTATACGTGGGAGGAAAATAATATTTTTCAAAAGATGTTAAATAAAGAAAAGACTAGTCTAACCTTAGAAAGTATCAGGAAGAGAGTATCTCATGTCTTTATCTATCTAGCTTCTTTTGATGGTGGAACATTCCAAATTTCCAAAGTATGGACTAAATTACAGGCAGTAATTTAATGAAAAAGGTTGTGTTTTAAATATGACAGTCACTAACCATTTCTGAGCTTTACAAGTGACGACTAGAACATTGAAAACACATATTCATAGCATATCATTTTGTTTTTCTCAATATTACTTGGAGCAATTTAGTCCTACTGAATCTGAGTCATCTGAGAAACGGATAATCTGAGGTCTCATCTAGCAGGCCAACATTTGGGCTTCAGTTCGGGAAATCCAGGATTCCATTGCAATAATTAAACTCAACAAATATATCCAAGGTCAAGTATACTAATTCATTCATATCTTCCTATACTATTCAGAATCAAAACGGGGACAATACAAATATACCATGTTGAAGGCATTAATAGAAATGTGATTGCTTATTTGATTTTATTCTTGGCAAACCTGCTTTTCAGGCCATAATTTCTATCTTAATAAAATAAAATACTTAAATGTTTGTTTTAAATGTCCCTAGGGAGGGAGGGGTACTGAGTACATAACTTGCTCATAAAAGTCATTACTGTATTATCTCCAGTTAATTCAGCTGGTGTATGAGAGAAAGGTTCAGTCTTTCTGAAGACTAAATCAGTAGATTCAGTTGGTGTATGACAGAAAGCTAGTATATTATAGAGGTAGATATTGTTAACTGAAATTCACTTGATTATAAAGAGATTCACTGTTAAGATTATCAAGGAAGTAATGTTCATGAGTTACAATTTGGAAGAAAGGCAAATTGCTTATTAACATTAAACTTTTTCTGACAAATACATATCAACTAGAACAATCTGAAATCAAAGGTATGAGCAATTGCATAAAAGGCTTGATATCATATGTAGGCATCAAGTTTCTATTCATGAATCAAAAAGATCAATGGAAAGCTTCAGCAAGAAACTTAGATCCATTTATTTTATGTAATGAATAATGGTAACTTTCTGCATAAAACATCCAAAAGATTCTAAATTTTTTTGAGGCAATGAAGACTAACTGTACAAAAATAGATCCAGATTGAATACATAACTGGTGAAAGTTTAAGAAATTATAGAATTTATTACACAATGCTCCTTAAATAGCCTAGAAGGGGACATTTACAAAGATTAACTAAGAAGATTTTTTAAAAGGACATATATCTTTATAACCTCAAAAACAATGAAAATATAATGGTAGATCATTTTAAAAAATGAGATAGTTAAAAGTTATTTCTTGAAAAGATAAATACCTATGTAATATTTCATTTCTGTGTCATGTTTGTTCATAAGCTCAAGAAGTCGCACTTCAATTTGGGCTTGATTTAGGAAAGCCTTCTTGTTCTTTATAATTTTAATAGCTACCCACTCCTGTTCCACTCGGTCATATGCCTTTACAACCTGTAGAAATGTAAACGCAGAAATGTAGAAAAGCAAAACACAAAATAGATACAACTGCATGTTAAATAAAAAAGACAAAACAATTATTGAAATAAAATGCCTTCTATAAGTAACAGAACCTCTTTAATATATATATATTTGTGGACAAGATAAAAAAGTCCAGATTTTTGAAAGGAGGAAAAGAACTTGAAAAATTTTGGAATTAATTAGTGATTAAAAGTTTTTTAAAAATTCTATATTTGTTAAATCACACGAAATCTAAACCACTTGCCCAAGCAGAAGTAAATAGAATTGAAATAGGACTTTGTGCAGATCTGCACAGAATTTATAGTGAATACTATCTGTGATGATAAATGCCTACTAAATTATTGCATTATATATTGGTAGGCTGTTAGGAAGTAGAATGTAATGTCTGGCTATCAAATCCATTAAATATCTATAGCTTTACACTAATGTGCACAGCTTCACAGCTTTATAGACCTGTGCACATTAACACATAAAATCAAGGTAGTATAATGGAAAAAATGGGTTTTCTTCCCCACCACCATCATAGTCTAAATAAAATTGCAAAATGGATTGTGAAGAGTATATAAAAAAACCACCCATATATGACTTGGATAGGATACCGCTTTAAGTTGCTTTTATTCACATTTATTCAATCATTTACCTGTCCAAATGAGCCTTTGCCTATTAAAGAATCAATTTCATAACGATCCATCCATTTTTCCCCATTTTTCACAATGTAGTCATAGTTGTCATCATCATATCCATCATTATAAACCTTCCGCTCTTTTTTGTGACTAGAATCATCTCCTTGTCCCTGTTGATGTCGTCGCTTCTTTTTTGCATAGTAAACCTGAGATTAGGAAATGCAATTATTGCATAGCCAGTTTGTATCATGTACTATTGCAAAAGAGATTGAAATACTTGGTAATAAAGTGACAAAATGGTGATTTTAAAAATGGTGATAATGGTGATATTAATCATTAGATGGTTACATTTTCATTTTACAGCATAATTTATTCAGTTAAAAAGGACCTACACAAGAATATGGATATTGTTTCAGTAGCCTGTGACCAATTGCTCTGAAAGCAAATCTGGAGCTGCTGAAACAACAGCTTGATACAAGTTCAGTAAATCAAAGAAGCTTGAAGCATAAAATTTACAAAAGCAGGCATTATTTTAAAAGGTGCAAAGAAATACATGCATTCATAGTTCAACCGATATGACATTAGTCCTCTATTTTATTACGAAGAACATTACTCTGCTCTGTGGTAAAAAGTAGCTATGGATAATTTCCTCAAGAATACAATGAACAAGTACAATGTCTCTGACTCATTTGTTTAACTGAGTTTTCCTTATCTATTTTTAGGGTTTGAGTGGATAAAAGATTATTTTTAGAGTCTGCTATTTATGTCGTAATACTGAACTTTTAATCACTGCATAAACAACAGTCCTGATTTTTACATTATTGACCAATTGGTGTTTAGACAAAGGACATTCTTTAATGGCAGAGAGAAGGGAAAGACTGTAACAGTTTTAGGCAATAAACTTAGTGGCTTTCTGATGGCTGGAATCTGGACACAGTAAGAAACATTTTTCTGCTTTCTACCTGGCTTAGAAAAAAGAATGATAATTCCTAACATCCAGAGTTGTAAGCCGTGGTGGAATTCGCATTTTTTTTTACTACCGGTTCTGTGGGTGTGGCTTGGTGGGCGTGGAAGGGGAAGGATACTGTAAAATCTCCCGTCAGAGGTGGTATTTGCCGGTTCTCCAAACTACTCAAAATTTCCACTAAACTGGTCAGAACCTGCTGAATACCACCTCTGGTTGTAAAGCCTTGCAAATAAGAATATTGGCTATATTCTATGAAAGCAAGCTTTGCTGTGGTGATGGACATTTTTTTACCCTCTCAGAAACAAGTCTAAAAACTATCTGTCATTCAAGTGAAGTGGATAAATCAACCTTATAGTATTTTATTGCATCTCCCACTTTTCATTCATAAAATAAAACAATAGCTTTTCTTTTCTTTTAGCAGACAAGTACTTTTGTCTATAACAATAAGAGTTTAAGTAAGTAAGATTTAAGTAACAGTAAGATTTACAACAGTAAGAATAATTTCAAAGGAGAAAAAATAATTTTAATAATGCACAATTAGAAGAAGAAAAAGAAAAAAGAGTAGACAGTAGCCATTCATACATGAGAATAGTTATATGTAAATACAGAAAAAGGAAGGAAGGAAGGATTTTAAATACTGTTCTAAGCAGGTTCTTCCTCTTCTAAAATGCTACTCAAGTGGTAAGTATTCTTTTGAAGAGTATGTCTCCACTCAACAGTATTATTAGTATAAATTTAGAAAACTTTTTCTTTGTATTAAACATTTAATGTCCAAAGAAATGCATTACAACAGAGTAAGATTATAGATTTAGCTTGCATTTTAGTATTAATAAACACATTCTAGTCATAAAAAAAACTTATAAGAAAAATTAATGAATTATGCAAATTTTACCTCATTAATATGTTTGTATGTTTTGATCAAATCCACAGACAGTTTCCTTAAAGGAGCAGCTGCTGGATCACGGAAAGTTAGTGGCATTCGCCTCTGTAAAATAACAATATCACATATAACCTTAATCAGATAAATGTTAAATATTATATGGTTATATCACATATAAACTTCACCAGATATAATAATCAGAATTTAAAAATAATGAATTATACATATTTATCAAAAGAATAACCAGAAATATATTTAAAAAGTAAAACATTTAAAATGACAGCTGCCAAAATTTATCTTATTAACATACAAAAAAACCCCTTAGCTTTCACTCAAAGTTAATATTATGGTATGATTTTAATGGTTTGATTATATCCAATAAGCAATGTTTATTTTTCATATATGAATGTATAGTAGATTTTGTAGGCCAAAATGGAGCCTCCAGGTGCCGATCCGGCCCTCTAACACTCTGTTTATCCCTCCACAGGCCTCCCCCGGAGACTCCATTTTGGCACTCTGCAGCCCTTCTCCTGTGGACCCTGGAGGCTGCATTTCGGCCTGCAACAGGCTGGGGGAGGACACATGCAGAGGGCCGAATGGAGCATCGGAGGGCTGAATTCGCCTCTTGGAAGCACCATTTTGGCCGGCAACCTACTAGGCAAGGCTTCTGGACTCCTGAAAGGGAGGCCTCGTTTGACACGTTCCCAGCCGAAATGGAGATTCTGAGGGGTGGATTCGCCCCTCAGAAGCTCCATTTCGGCTGGGAACGTGTCAAACAAGGCCTCAGGATGCTGGAACAGGGATATGACTGGGCAGATCCGTGCCTCAGTAGCTCCATTTCGGCCGACAACATTCAGGATGAAGATTCGTAGTTCCGGAACTTGTTCATGCACACTAGGAGGCTCTTATCATATATATTCTAACGTTCGCTAAGGGAACGCTCGTAACCCGGGGACTACCTGTATATATGGGCTTCAGGGCCAAAACAGTGTGGTGCCCTCAGTAATGGAACCAATGAATAGCAATAGAACTTGCACTTATATACCACTTCACAGTACTTTACCTCTCTAAGTGGTTTTATCATGTCAGCATATTGCCCCCAACAATCTGGGTCTTCAGCAAATTTGAAAGGAGATTGCCCAGTTATTTCCGTGCAAAGTTGAAAAAATATGGGTCATGAACACAACAATAAATTGGAACAAAATATATCCAGGATGAGGTGCAGGATTGATCAGCAGATACAAAAAAAGTTTGTAAGGTATGGAATTTCACAACACCCTATCCAGGTGAGCAAACCAGTTTATTTGCTGTTTTTGTATGCAGTTTAAGATTGGTTCTATGCCCATTCTTTCTCTTATGGTTTCATTTCTGATTTTATCTCTTCTCATTACTCCAGCAGATTTCCCCAAACATCTCATTTCTGTGTGACTAACTTTCATTTCATTTTATTCTATGTGTCCATGTTTGATACTGGTAACATAACATTATATGCTTTGTATGAGGTGCTTCTTTGTGCTGGTCAGTACTGCCTAATGTTGATGTGCTCTGTTTTATTATCTTTTTTGCTATGGTTATTAAGTGATCCACTATAGTTGTTAGTAAATCAAGTAGTTATTAAGCAAATCTAACTTTCCCCATTGATTTTGCTTGATGGAAACCATCTGGGAAGATTGCAATTGGCAATTATATGGCTTCAGGACACTGTAGCTGTTGTGAATATATGCCAGATGCCAAGCATCCAAATTTTGATCATGTGCAATGCTGCAATGGTCATAAGTGCGATGACCAGTTGTAAATCAGCTTTCTCACTGCTGTCATAATTTTGAACATTCACTAAATGAATGGTTGTACCAATGCTCTAAAGCACATGATCACAGAAACCCTGCCTGTTTTGTAGGACAGGCTCTGTCAACCCACCTGCACTCCATGGGACAGCGCTTGCCAACCTGCCCATGCTCCACAGTGCCATCCACAACACCCACAGCACTCTGTAGTACCTACCTGTGGTACCCTCCACCCCCTGCACAAACACCCATATTCCTTGCCTTTCTGCTTAACAACCCGCAGGACTTTGGGGTTACAATGATGACCAGGATTGCTATTGCTAAGTAATGCGGTCATGTGTTTTCTCATGTTATGACCATATCACTTAGTAACAGAAATCCTGGTCCCAATTGCTGTTGCTAACTCAATGACTATATTTTGAGAAAGTTATTTCCTTTCCTTTAATCAACTAATTCTCCCCCCCTCCCCATTTTATTATATTATTAATGTCTGGATATGTTACATTCCATTCTATCCTTTGTTATCTAATAGTTTACTGGTTCCTCAGGAGGTTTTCTGCTTTGAATGATCTCCGTCAGAATCTAGATAAAGATTTCAACTATAATATCTTTATGGGATATCTAATTTTGTTTTGTAGTGGTTACTGTCCATTCTATTGGAATGTGACAAGAATGTGGGATTGGGAGACATTTCTCCTTCAAGTTAGGCCTTATGGTGTTCAAATCTACATGTTGGTGGAGGACATTTGGAACAGAGTGACATCAGAGACTGTGACTGCACCATAAATCTGGTTCCTGACGCCAAGATTCCCATTAAGAGACAATACCAAATGACTGCTAAAGAACCAGTAACTCTGAAACAGTACTTGGACTCTAATTTGCAAAAGGGATTAATATGAACACCCTAGTCTCCTGCCTCAGCTCCCCCCTTCTTTGTACCCAAGAAACAAGACAATAGGGCGGTTTATAATTATAAAGCTTTGAATGCAGTGACAGTAAGGGGCCATTATTCAGTGCCATTAATTCTAGACCTCTTAGACAGACTGCAGAAAGCACACATTTTTTGCAAGGGGGGGATCTCTGCAATGCATATAACAGGGGTGTCATATCGGGGGCCAGATCTGGCCTGTAGGGTGCTTAAAATAGGCCCATGGGGCTGCCCTGGAAATAACAAAGGACTGGTCCACAGTGCTTCTGCCAGTGAAAACAGAGCTCGGGAGGGCTGCTTTTCGCTGGCAGAGGTTGCAAGAGGCCGTCCCAGTTGAAAATGGAACTTGTGAAGGCTGCACGTGGCCCCCTGAGCCTTGTTTTTGCTGGCAGAGGGTTGCAGGCCATCGCAGCTGAAAACAAAGCTCGGGAACCCGTTTTCACTGGCAGAGTGCTCGGGCTGCCACAGGCGCCCGTCACAAGTGATGTCATGCTGACCATTCCCACAATGCGCCCCCCGAAGGTCAAACACAACCCTGAGGTAGCCCTTGATGAAATTGAGTTTGACACCCCTGGCATATAATCTCATTAGGTCCAAGGATACTTAAAATTGCCTTTGACACCAGATACAGCAAATTTGAATACACAGAAGTCCTGTTTGGGTTCATTAACATAGGGGGCCGTATTTTCCTGATTTATAAACCTAGTCTTTTTAGATGCAGTGCTCTATCTGGACAATATTTTGGTGTAGTCTAAGGATGAGGCTCAGCAATCAGATGATGTGTGCAGAGTTTTCCTAGACTAAGAGATAACCAGCTCTTTGCCAAGCCAGAAAAATGCACCTTTGATCTGCAACAACTAAATTTCTTGGGCTACTGTATTTCCACAAAAGGCATACAGATGGACCCTCAGAAGGTCCAAGCTGTCATAGGCTGGCAAGCCCCTGCACAGCCAAAGATATACAATGTTTCCTGGGCTTTGCTAACTTCTACAGAAAGTTGTGATCATAAAGCCAAGTCCCAGACCCAACTGATAAAGAAAGGAGTTAAATTTTCTTGGCTATCTACACAACAAATAGCATTTGAAGAGTTAAAGCAGCTTTCTGCATGCCAGCCCATCCTTCAGCACCCAGACACATCAGAGATTGTTGTTCAAGTAGACATTTCAGATATGGCCATTGGCACTGTTCTTTTACAAAAGAGTGAGGGAGAAAACAGCCTTCTGCCTTGCACTTTCTTTTCTAGAGCCCTGACTGCCCCAAAACGGAAATATGACATTTTTAATAGGGAGCTCCTTGCTGTTAAATCTGCATTCCAACACTGGAGACATCTTCTAGAAGAGTGGCCCTCAGCCTTTTGGGCACCAGGGACTGGTTCCGTGGAAAGAAGATGCCGTCTGTATCCCATGGATTTGCTTGTTTCTGCAGCCTGGTCGCTGGCATGCTACAGACCAGTGCTGGTCCACAGACTGAGGATTGGGGACTCCTGTCCTAGAAGAAGCACACTATCCTACGCACAAGAATCTATACACCCTGCAACAGACAAAACTGCTTTCATCCAGACAAATGAAATTGAGTCAATTCTTCTCACATTTTGATTTTTACATTACGTACATCCCAGGCTCCAAGAACTTCATGTCAGATGCGCTCTCTTGCAAATGAGAATATTCTCTCATTCAACAGACTCCCAACACCAGGAACAATTCTACAACCTTCTAATTTCCAGTATCAACAGCCATCATCAGCCATTGAGAGGTTGGGAACAACCAACTCCACCAGGACTTTATCACCAGGATAAAGAGTCAGCAGCAACTAGACTGCATCTCATGGATAGGGTACATGACCTCAAGGAAACCCCAGCAAATACTGTAACCCTGTTCGTGATGAAGGGAGGAGCCCTGAAACACAAGGGCAAAATAGTAGTTTCCTCACCCTCTTGAGCAGGAAAGAGGTTCTGCACTTTTGCCATGAAAATCAAACAGCAGGGCACGGTGTATGTTCAAAACTCTGCGCAGAACCTTAAAGAGACTTTTGGTGGCCTGGGATGACAGCAAACATCAAGAAATATGTGGCCTCTTGCCACACATGCAGGAGGGACAAACCCCTCCATTAAGCCTGTAGGGCTCTTGCAGTCGCTATCAAACCACCCCACCATGGCATACAGACTCTTTAGATTTCATCAATTTACCCACTGTCCAAGGCTTCATTACAATTCTGGTGGTGATAGGTGGCTCATTTCATACCCTGCAAGGGATTGCCTTATGCCAAAGACACAACCCAGCTTTTTCTAGGCCACGTCTTTTGCTACCACAGCATGGTCTCAGCACTGATTTCAGACAGAGGCAAACAGTTCCAATCTAGATCTTGGAAAGCACTTTTCTTCTAGATATCAAGGT